ATACAGTGAACCCTCGTTTATCGCGGTAGATAGGTTCCAAACCCGACCGCGATAGTTGAAAATCCGCGAAGTAGGGACACCATATTTAACATGTATACAGCGAGCCCTCGCTACTTCGTGGTTCGACCATCGCGGATTCACGTATATACATAATGTAATGAAAAAAGTCCGCGAAGTCGTGAATCCGCGATGGTCGAACCGCGAAGTAGCGAGGGCTCACTGTAAACCTTTAGCTGTTAGATGCTAAAGGATTGGCCCAGCGTGATTTGGGGGTAAGGTCCAAAGGGTAAATTGACCAGGGATCTGTGGCTGGTTTCAACTGGACAGAACTTGTTCGGGGTAGGTGGGATTGGGTGTTAGGACCCCCCCCACTTGTGTATGAGGCCCGGGGCCATCTAGGACACGGATATTGCTGGAGTGTTGGAGGGGTTTTGCTTGGGAGGCTTCAGGCAAGCAGCTGAAGCGCTCTGTGGGACTGGTTTGTGGCCGGTTTGGAGGTCACCAGTCTGGGGGCTGTAAGGAGCCCCGGATTTGAGCAATTCGCCCTGAGCGGACGCCCTCAGCTGTGCCCAGACACGGCCTGGTCTGTCACATCATCCCACTTTGTTACCACACATTGACTGCAGCAGCAACACACTAGTGTAGTTCTGAAGTGGGTAAGAACCCATGGGCAAGCTACAGTTTAGCAAAATGAAATGTGTTCCCAGTGGGTTTCTTTTCCCCACCCCCCAGAGACCCTTCACTTTCACTTGTACAAGCCATGCTTGTGACCGCTCACCTGCGCACACCCTCGTGGTTCTCAATCTTGCTGATGATCTTGATGTTCTTCCCCTTCTCTCCCAGCACTTGCCTAACTGCATGGACATCAGCTGCCTTGCGGATGAAGGACGCAAATACCATGTCTACATCCTGCTCCACACCGAATTTCAGATCCTGAATGTCCTTCTCCGAGACAGCAGGGAGGTCCACTGCAGCACCAGGCAGATTGACACCCTTCTTGCTACCAAGCAGACCACCATTCTCGATTTCAGTGAGAACATAGTCTGCACCTACAGGGAATTGGAGGTGGTGAAGTCAGAATCTTACCCGATAGGCCTGCTGCTTGCTCCCTCACTGCTTGACCATCATTCTGTACAGCCCATTTCCTACTCTCCTTTTTCTACCGGAGAAGAGAAGGTGAACGGGCACTTGCAGTCAGTGGGTTTGCCCAACAGGCAGCACAGCAAACAGTCTTGTGCCTTTACAGTAGAGCTGCATTTTGCATGATTGTGTTAAACCCTCCTCTTGGGAATTAGTCATGTCAGTTTCTAGATTCACTTTCACTCCATTTTTGGAAGAGGGAAGATGCCTGTTCATTAGAACCCTGGGAACAGGATTTCGGAACTAAAGAAATGCCATTAGGTGGCTTCCAGACATGGCTGTTCACACATTCCTGCATCTGCAAGTCTACGTCCCACCAGAAGAGGGACAGTATTTTATTATTTTTGTACTTTTTACACCCAAAAATGTCATCACCTGCCCGGCTACAATTAAGTTGTTTAAACAAATGTGTTGCAATGGTAGAAAAAAAAAAGTGTGTTTGAAAATTGTAGGTACTTGTTTTGAAAAAGGGTTACTTTATAAAAAAAGTTGAGAAACACTGATCTAGGCCATAAAGATTAGTTTTTACACAAGAATCAGCAATTCATCCACTGATGCAGATATTCTGCACTGCCACTGAGGATTGTGGAGACGCTATTTAGGGAGCAAACAAGCGTTAGCCAAGCAGTACAGTTCACTATGCACCAGAAAACTGAAGTTGGTATTTTTCCAATTTCAAAG